TAATATTCATTTCATCTTATCCTACAAAATGATGGTGCATTGACTTAATCGATCAATTTTATGTAAAAATGACTTCCAATAAGTTTTAGCAGAATCAACACTGAAATATTAGAATGATAAATTTGACGAGAGTCAATCAAGGTGTGAAAGTCATAGTACTTTTTAAGATTATTGAGTCAGTCCAGAAATGATTTGGAACCAGCCTAGCTATCAAACCCCTACAATTATAAGGTAATTCGTCTAGAAGAATAATGAATGTCATCAAGATGGTCACTAAGGGATATAATTATATTAATAAGGGAAAGGGGAAGGCACATTGTCGTTGTAATGATCTAGTGACTTGGTGCAGGTATAAGCGTTATTTTAGGGATCATACATAGGCCTTGTTTGGGCTCCATTTTAACGAGATCTTTAAAAAAAATTATTTTGGAATAATAATTTTTTTTTACGCGTAATATTGGCATAATGTTAAGGGAAGTGCCGAGATAAAACATTTTTTCCTTAATTTTGCTATATTGTACTTCTTTTAAATGAAAACAAACTAACTAGAAATTGAAAGCATTTTATAGTAAATTTAAACTTGACAAGCCAGATCACCTGTGAGTAGTAGGCTTGCATGTGGGCTGTTGAGTTTTGGTTTAGTGTTTGGACTATTGGATTGACTACTTGGGCTTGGTTATTTAGGGTGAGTGGGGTATGTTTTAAAGGGTTTGATGGATGATGTGGACTTTGGGCTTGACGGATATTTAATGGGCTGTGTATTTAAGTTGGGTTTTGTGGGTTTAGTTGTTTGTTGGATTGGATATATTGATGGATTTAAAGAACAAAAAAAATAAAAAATTAAGAATAGTAGTAGAAAAAACGAAGGTAACTGATCCTCTTTCTTTCTTTTTTTTTTTTCGAAACTAAAAATACAGAGAATAAATTTTTATTTTATTTATATTTAGAATATAAAAAGAAAAAAATTCAGAACACCTACTGCTGCCTGATTATTCTGCTCTTGAATTTGTGTATGATGGTGACTTGCGTATATATGTGTATAGTTCAGAAGTTATTGGGTGGAAAGTTGGTATCTTTGGATTTGAGAACGAAAGATATTAGACTAAAGGAAAACAACTTGCTTTTATACTAAATTGAAGTTTGAAGTAAGAATGTAATAATTTGACAATTAATAGTTGAAACAAAGAACGAGAAGGAGAAATGGGATCCAAGAAGAAGAAGAAATTAGGCAAGAGAAACTTAATTTATTCATATATTCAAGGATATCTATTACATTGAATAAACATTTTTTATATCATAATTAAAAGAAGTTCTAATAACTTAGAACTTTATTAAAATATTAAAACTAATCTACAAACATAATTTGAATTAAACTCTATTTGAAAATCTATCTAACCTTTATCTCTATCTCCATCAATAAATTATTTTTTGGAGAATGTGTGGTTAAAAGTAAAAAAAGAAATTTAGGTTTACGTGCAAAATATTTTATTGTGAGATTGTGTGGTTGAAAATAAGTTTAAGAGAAAAAAAGTTTTGTAAATATGGTTGTCAAACAAGGGCTTAATATGATTTCACTTGCACAATTCAAAATCAGATGAAAAAAGAGTAATAATTTTATTGGAAAATGAAAAGTATTAAAATAAAGATAAAATATGTATGTATGATTTTAAAGAATGTTAATCTAAGTGTTTCGACATGTTCACATTGTAATTTCTTTTGAAGAGTTATGTACCATCGTATACATTCCATATCATGTGTTGGTGTCTAGTGTTTGTATTCATGCCTCATCTATCATAAGTATAAAGAAGATAGTGAAGTCACAAATAATTATTATTTTAATTCTATAAATTAATGAGGACATGATGATGATGCAACGCGTAGAACTAGAGAAAGTCGAATGAAATGAAGAATTGGTAGATAGATTCGGTGATTGGTCGTACCTTTTGAGTTAGATGACATAGAATGTTGACCTCTTATATGACAAAATATCCATAGGATGAATGTAATGGTTATAGCATGTTAAACTAGATCCATGACTGAATTGGAACAAGTAGAATAAGAAATGAAAATATACACTATCAAGTGAAAGCGAACATACTGAAACAGATAGAATAAGAAATGAGGTCTTTTTTACCAAGTGAAGGTGAGGTGACCATTGATAAATTAATGAAATTACATTTTAGGTGGTTGGGACATGATAAAACTCTCACTCATGAGAGCGTTGCAATCTTGGTAAAACACGATAGCGTAGGTGATCGAAATTAGTATATTGCCTGATGTATTTAAAAAAAGAATATATAATGTTTTTTAAAGTTACAATTAAAGTTGTGGTGGGTTAGATGTAGTAGTGAAGAAGGATTCATTCTACTAACCAAAAATATATTGAGAATACGACTTAGAGCTTGTCGACACAGATTTTTTAGTATATTGCCTGCTGTATTTGAAAAAAATAAAAATAAAGTAATGTTTTTTAAAGTTACAATTAAAGTTGTAGTGGGTTAGATGTAGTAGTGAAAAAGGATTCATTCTATTAACCAAAAATATATTGAGAATAAGACTTACAGCTTGTTGACACAGATTTTTCCAAGTGTAAAATGATTTATTTATTTTAATTATGGTTAAAAAGTGGGGAAAGATTGTGTATTCCATAAAATGTATGGTTGATAATGATTTTAAAAAAATCTATGCCGAACAAGCTCTTAGTATTTCGTTATAACTGTTGTTGAAAGTGCACTCAGGCCAAAAAGTCTATTGAATTGGCTTGAATTTCATAGAATAAATTAATAACTTAACTTATTGAAGAAGAGTTGGTAATTCTTATTTGCGGAGTGCAAAGTTTGAAGATTCTAGGTCAGCAGTGTAAGAATTAAAAGGGTGCTACGATGAATCCTTAGAAGAAAGTTTGACAATATTAGTACTATTGGATTTAATTAAAAGTAGCTGGCCAGCAATAAAACATTGAATATGGTCCTGCGTTTATCATTGGAATAATTGCTTGGAACAAGTGTTAAGCCAACTAAAACATAGTAAACTTTTAGGTGCCAACTTTGTCTATGCAGCAGTAGAAATTAAGAATATCTCTTCTACTTTTCAGCGAGTTGAAATACTTATATTTTTGGAGAAATCATTTGGTGATCACAGCAATCTTAGATGTGCTTGTTCTAGTTCTTGATCTCAACAATGTTAAGATAGAAAGGCCACATCATTAAAAATATTTGCCAGTGTGCGTAGTCAATTTATTGCTCATGATGCTAGCAAGTATGAACTCCTTGTTCGTGATGCTGTATTCTTGAGGTGACTAATGTTGTATTGTATACCCAACCTTATCTGCCTTTCTACATGTTAAACATTTACTTTTAGGCCATTGTCATCTCACTATCTACTTATGTGGTAAAAACGCAATTTATTTTCCGTAAATAATTTGATATGATGAAGTTGCTAGATAAATTTGGTGATCTGAGATATTTATTTAGTTATATGGACCGATGTTGGCCTGTTACATTAATATATTCATAAGATGAATATAATGGTAATGAGGTAAAACTGGATGCATGAATGACCAAGCTAAAATGGATCGACTAAGAAATGAGGATATATGCTACCAATTGAAGGTAGCCAATTCATGATACATATGAATTAATATAACGACATTATTAGGTGGTTGGCAGTTGGGACATGAGACATTTTACTCGTGATAGCAATGTGATCTTGGTTAAAAACGATAGATTAGGGAAAAGGTAGATCAAAATTAGTATTTGGCCTGATGTGGTTGCAAAAAAAAAATTGATAGTACTAGATTTGTTTTAAAAATTACATCTTTAATCAGTAGTGAAGTAGCTGGCCAGAAATAAAAACATTGAATAGGCTTCTGCATTTATCTTTGTGATGAATTTTTTAGAGAAATGTTAAGCCAACCAAAAACTTATTAAAACCCTTGGTTAAAAGTGAAACTGACATCCAATTGAGTGGCTCATGCAGGGTAAGGCCCTGATCATCGTGGATTCCTCAAACAGCCCGTTAGAAGGCCTGCTTTTGACATCTTTTTCCTTTTTTAGTTTCCCCTTTTTATGATGGCAAAACAATTTTACTGGTTTGTCCTGCAAAAATGATTGTCGATTTTTTGTGATCAACTTCTTTCTCTGTGAAAAATTAAAAATGGCTACTGTTGCATACTAACAATAGCTCTCTCAGTGCAGTGTGTTCTGCCCCAGAATCCATGTATACCATGCTTCTGCAACCCAACAATGCTGGACGACACTTTTCAATTTGTAAAATTTTTTGTCGAGTTAGTTCCCCAATCTCTACTTATTTTTCTTCTCCAGGTACAGCATGTGCCGCATTTTACTTGTACCTCTCTTTGTGGGTGAATTGTATTTCTACATCACAGTTATTTGGCCAGTTGATGTTGAATTAAAGAAACGAAGTTCATGATATTTTGATTTCCATTTTACTTGGTCTCTTGTGATGCTTTCTAACTTCATAATTGTAATAAATACTAAACTGTTGGCTGAGTGAGTGATCCTTCTCATGTTGGAAGAATAATGTCAAGTGAAAACCCACTCAAAATAGAGATTATAGTCTTTTTAATTTGTACATGGGACATTTTCTTTGTTTGTTCTCCTCACCAATCTCTCTCTCTCTCTGTGTGTTGACGTTGCTTTCTATGTATAATGCAAAACTTTCAAGTCTAGTCAAAATAGATGAGAATTCATATCAAGCATTACTAAATTTAGGACTGGTGGCATAGCTCCCTTTCCCTTCGATGGTTCTTTTGCCCATCTTGATCCTATTGTTTAGCAAAAAGAGTAACCTGTCCAAAATGCTTGTTCAAAAACCAGAGTAAGACATTCATCCAAACAAGTTCTTTATGTACATTTGGTCTAGCAACCACTAGGACTGCCAAGTTCACCACATCACAATCTTTAAATTGAAGAAGTTACAACAGCTGAGTACATCAGACTAATACCACAAGATTTGGCACTGAATTTGGTAAAATCTACTCAAGATCGTCTTCCTTCACGCCTGTCCTTCCTCCATTCCCATGGCATCTCTGGGTCAGATGCTGCCCATAACCCAATTCGCTTTGCTCTTGCCTCGCTTTCCCACTACAATTATGCAAAGCAAGCATTTTAGGCGAGGAAGAGCTAAACAAAAATAGTTTCTAATCTAGAGGAATCAGAGGGTCACCTTTTCTAATTCCGGCCTCTGGTCATAGGCTTTATAATGCCATGCTAACCCCTTTTTAAGCATCACTTCCTGTATATATCAAGAATTTAGAAGTAGGGTTCTTGAAAGTTTCAATATTCGAGTGCATTTGGGTTCAAACAGATGAATGCAGTACCTGTACAAATATGCCATTGCAATATATGTCTCCCACAAAGCGTCCATAACGATCTTCATCAAAAACTAGAACTCTCAAACACTTGTTTTCAACAATTTTAGTCAGTTCTTCCTTTGCCTCTTGTCCATATGGCATTTTGCCCTCTGGTGCATCGATTCCTCTGTTACATATCTTATGTCAATGGCCATTCATTATACCTAAAAACACGATCTGCCTTATAACAGTTTCTTATACCTTAATCTAATTCGATATTTTCGTGCAAGAATCTGTTCATTTTGAACTGGTATGACCCTGCAAGAGAAACATCTGCTGAGCAAAACTTGGTCATGATAAAACAGCAAAAAACAGATGATTTGTCATAGGATCAATGAACCTATATCCTAGATCAATAATTTGTTGGTGCAGTTGATCTGCCCTATCATAATTTCTCTGGGCACGAGCTTCAGATCGTTGAACAGCAGCAACTTGCACGTCTCTAGGAACATTCGATGACTCCCTAGGATCAGAAGCACTAACATATACCGTTATGGTATCTCCATCTGCCACAGCTTTCGCATCCACCTAACAGAATAGAGCGCACCTCATTTGTTGCTGAAATCTTAATTTGGTCTCTAATGGAGTTCCAACAAAAATAAGTTTCTTTACCGGGATAGTATGCAATTCGAACTTGAGTCCTTCCGGGTGCGTCTGAGGAGCACCATGAGAAAGCTCAACGAGAGTTTGAGGCAGTGGAAGGCCATAAAAGGCCAATAATCCCTATATAACAAAGCACTGGCTGTTATAATCTAGTACCTTATTGTTTTCTAGAATGGTTAACTGTATTAATTAGTAGAAAAAACTGGACATTAATGTTTTCGCGAATTTTAAGGTGGTCATTAAACTTCATTTTGATCTAATTTGGTTACTAAACTTTCAATGTCATTCTGGTTTGATCATTCTACCACCAGCTAACTGAAGCAAAATTGAAAATAGAAAACAAGAAACAAAAAAGCAAATACAATCCATCCGTGCCAAGCCCACCACACCACACCATCCCTCCACCCACAACCTCAGCTACACCCCAGGGGAATCTTGTACACATGAAACATACCATTTATTTAACATGTAAACAAGAAGAAATGAAATGGACCAAAAATGTTTTTTTTTTTTGCTCCTGTAGTGTAGTCAATGCAGTGATAATTATACAGAATCACAGATTTCTTTGTAAGTACCTCAACATCAGCCTTCCGATGTCTCTTCAAGGTCTGAATTACTAGCCTTGAAGCTTCTTCCGGTGTTTTTGGTGGTGGTTTTGTTGCTCTCCACGCATCAGAAAGTTTCTTATACCTTAATTTCTCATCAAAATCCCCATTAATCAAAGTGAAACAATATGTTGGAGAAGAGAGATATTTTGTGATTTGAAGAATATTTGCTAATATTAAAGAAAATATTATGGCATGATTTGGAGAATATTGGTTGATGATAATTGGAATGTTTCCATAATTTGTTTTATTCTTTTCGTGATTGTCTCATCTATAATAAGGCAACCTTGTTGTAATATGATTATATATATATGTGTGTCATTGTAATACTTCGGATATAAATGAATATAGTCTTCTCTCTTCTCCCGTTGACGTAGGTTTGCCACACGGACGTCGAACCACGTAATTCTTTGTGTTCTTTGTTATATATTTTATTGAATTCTTCACAATAAGGGAGTGTAGATCACAGATCTTGATTCAAAATTATATTTGCTTATTTCTTCCACATTCAGAGATCGATTATATAGTGAGTACCAGTTCGCCTGTGTTTTCTTGGACGAGACAACATGCTGACTGAGTCCTTGAGGAACCTTCAAACAGAAGAAAGGCAAGTAAACATTCTTATATGCACAACAAAACTGAAATTAAACTACCCCACAGCTTTAAATTGAACCAAAGATACAATCTTTTTTTTCAGCGAAGTAAAATTTTACAAATAACTTGGTAGGTACCTGGGAGGTAATTTCAAAGCTGTAGAGATCGTGGGCTAAGGCTGAAACGCCGACGGTGTTGGTGGTGACGCCGTGGTGGCCGAGCGCATCATCGGCGGCGGAAGGCTTGAAGCATTGGCCATACAAAAATCTTAAAGCATTTCCCATCCAGGAAATCATTCTCTTTAATTAGATATTTTTCTCTCTCTGATCCGGTGATTAGGATTAATGAATCTGAAGCTAAACAACGAACCAATTTGGATGCTTTTCAGGGAAGAAAAAGCTAAAGGTGTGGTTGGGTTGACTACATCTATAGGCATTTTCATGCGATTGGTCATTATAGGTAAACTTCGACGAGTGCAATTGAGGACACGTGGCTGGTGATGATTAGTTATTTCTCTTTTTCTACCTTGTTAATTTTTTCAAGACAATTGTTTTTTTATTTTTTTAGGGAAGGGAAAGGAATTTATATATATATATATAATATATATATATTTTCATTTCAAAGAAAAAAAGGAACTTGTACATAAGCAATTATCTGAAAGTTGTGCAGGTTTTAATCCCGGATTAATAGCAGAAAACTCCTTTAGAAACATTTCAAATGCAATATATCCCATACCTATTGGAAATCTTAGAAAACCCCACTGTTTGAAACATTTTGTACGAAAAATCCTCTCCGCCGTCAAGATCCATCAAATTTATCGTTTAAAACAGTAAAAAATGTCAAAAAAAAAAAAAAA